TATTATATGTAAGAACATATTTCACTTACTAAATTCAATGTCCCTGTTCCCTATTTAATATATTTGGCATAAAAATTTGTGATGTTCTTCCACTTCATTATGGAGGTAGTCCTTATAAAAGGACTTCACTGCATTCAGATAATATGATGCAATAATTTTTTCAACATAATTAATTATATAGATCTTAAAAGTTTTCGGAAAAAACTATTCACAGTTGCTAAAGAATTGAAAATTTTGATTTTAGGATAAGTTAATGAAAAATATAATCGGATACGTTCTATTTCTTCTATAGTTAATAGCAAAGAAATTGTAAATCATATAGACTGCGATGTTTAAATAATGACTAAAATATGGTAAAAAACAATTAATTTTAAATAAAATATCAAAGTAACTAATTGTAATAAAATTCAATTAAATTATAAACTTTGGTCTACTAACATCAAAGCATAGCATTGATCTCGTATTTGCATTTTTCTCCAATATTTAGACAACATGTCCTGAATGTGTCGTTCAGAGATTTAAGGTGCATAAAATTTTTTCTAAGAATGGGGAATACCAATTTTTTATACATTTTCAGTAAACTCTTATATTTTTTCAGTACATATTAAACCAAAACAAATTTTTGTGATAGTATAGAATAAATCTGTCTAAGACAAGTTTGATTAATAATTAAGTATTTCCTTAAAAATATTCAGTGTTTGCTTTAGAGAAGTTTTTTAGGTTATGTTTTCATATTGAATATACAATGTTTTAAATTAACTGCAATTAATTATACAACTATAGTAATAACATTATTTTATTTTACAAAGAGTATGATTCTTACCATATATTTAAATACTATATATTAATTATAAGTTATGTACAAAAATTCTTAAGTGCATTATAAACATTTTCATATCAATTATATACATAAATAACATTAAAATATAATTTTATATAACATATCTAAATTTAATAATGTTATTTAAAATCATACTAACTTGTATTTATATTTATCAACAATATTACCAGCAATATAAATACATTTATAAGAACATATATTATTATATTTGTACCTAAATTAAATTTATTTTATTTATATAATGTATATATAATAATTAAAAATTATGTATAAATTTTTCCTAAAAATAATTCTAATTGATATTTGTCATTATATTTATTTAATTCCAAAAATAATTTTTTCAGATTATATAAATATGTATATATATATAAATGTATACACATATAAATATGTAATATGTTATATTGTTATTCATATTTATAGCTATCAAATAATATTAAATTATTTTACATTATAAAATTTTTCAATTTTATTTTACTTTTTTAAAGCTGCACCATTACATGATATTATTAATATTATTTTTGTTTTACAATTTGTTTATTCAAAATATATTTCTTTGTAAAATTTTAAATTTCTATATTTAAATTGTTTTGTTTAATAAAAAATTAAGTTGAGATACATTTTTCAAGAAACATACAATACAAATTGTTTTGTAGAAATTTCTGAATGGATTGAGCATGTTTAATCATTGATTTTTTAAATTATATTTTTTTTATAAATATAATAATAATATAAATATAAGTTTTTAAAGAAAAATATTAAATTACGAACTTATAATTTTATCTTTGTAAAGTATTGTAATCATAAATTTATGTATGTTAGGTATAATATTATATACAACTTTCAAGAACTGATAATGCAAAAATAAATACATCATTACTTTTGGAATGGTATATACCATAGGTACGGTCTTAAATTTCCATTGAATTCAATATACTACAATTGTCCAATGAAAATAAATCAGAAACTATATAAAAATTATAAATATCGCTGGTATATTTGTCCTCTTCATAATATGAAAACAGTGTTGTCTGCTCTATATGTGCACTACGTTGTTCTGGTATTTTTTGCTTTTTTTGTTGCTAACAAAACTCTCTCGATTTCTAAATGTTCATTACATTATTTAGTAAAGCTTGAATTTGAAATTTTTATTTTTTTGTAAAATTTCTGAAATTTTATATATGCGTTTTTTTTGACATTTTAATTTTACTTAGACAATAAGAAAGAACCCATAGGACGAAAAAGGACCCAAGTAGTTCCGTGGTCTACTTCGGCTAATCCTTCACCTCACTTGTTGGACGGTGCGCTGTCCCAACGTCCCACCGTATAAATAGACAATAGACAGTATTTATTAATTATAGTATTATTGAATAAATTCTAAAATTGATTAAATTGAAGTTGATACTCAAATACTCAAGTCAATGTCATTCTAACATTGAAGAAGACTTTTACCTAAACTCAAATATATTATTTTGATGGTATCCTCTAATGAATGTAGAAAACAGATCTGCTAGATTTTTTTAAATCGAATTTCCTTAATTTACTATATAGTTGATAGTTAATTTCAAAAATGTATTTAGGTTGGGGACAGTTAGTTTTTTTAATTTGATATATAAATACTTAGAGCGTTTTTGGAGAAAATATTTGTGAAGACGTTAAAGCTTTCTTACATTCAACTTTTTATAATTTATTAACAATTTTTATGAATTCTTATTTTGAATTAATTGAATTCATATATCTCAGCAAATATTATATAATTATTTAAAAAAAAAGTGATAATTTGCTTATAACACATTTGTTTCACTGCTCTTATAGTATGTTTCCATTGCCTTCGTTGACACAGTTTATTTCATTTAGGTTGCTAATGAAATTTGATTAACAGGTTTTGTGCTCTTTAATTTCATTCAAAATAAATCAAGAGAAATTACAGCAAAATGTCGAATGTAACATTTCAAAATGTATTTCCCAAAATGGATTTGATTGAAATTTGAAATATTTGTCACAAACAATATGTAAATATTTATAAAATGCTTTTTATAAATAGTATTATGTATACAATTTTTTCTATTATCTGATAATAGAAAATTAAATATTATCTGCTAACAATTGATATGCATATAAATAAAACCTCTTCTTGAAATTTTACAGAACTTTTTGACACATTAAAGTTCGTTTATTTGTATAAATCAACTTATGCCAATGGAAACGACGAAATCTAAATTTGATTAACATGATTTAGTTGCAGTGGGAACATGGTAATATGCTCATTCTATATTAAATACTATATTATTAAATAATTAATTTTTAAATCTGTATTGAAATGTAATACTTTTTATACTCCTGTAAAATGTATAGTTTCGGATTTGCTTTCCTATTTCAAAACTCCGTTTAGAGTCAAGGTGGGGTGGTGGAGTCTATAATTTTTTAAGATAAATATTGAAGTATAACATATTTAGTCCATGTTTCTACAACCTACACAATATCATATATAGCAACAGTTTATGGTTATGCTTTAACTGAATTCTCTAACACTTCAAATGAACTATGGATCGTATGGATAAATCGTAGCAAAAGTGCTTTAAAATGAATTGAAGCAAAATTTCTATTAATGATTATAAAGTATTTGGAATTATTTTTCTATGTGAAATAAAAATAATAGTTTTTAAAAAATATCTATACTTTTATGCTTTAATTCCTTTGTTTTCGAACAGAGTTTTGATATAATCAATGGTTGTTTCCAAATATTAAAATTCATTGCTGGAATAATAGAATATCAAGTAAATTTAATTAAAATTACTAACTATATTAGAGATGGTATGAAGTTTCTTCAAGAGTATTACTGTTAGATTACTGTGACTCAGAGTTCAAGGTCCAAATATAATAATGGGTCAGTTTAAATTAGAATATCATGGCCTTGAAATTTTGTGCAGGACTTCTGTTAAGGACTTCTGAAATTTTATTATTAATATTAGTGCGTTAATGCAGTGAGAGAAAGATCTTAAAATAATAACAATAGCACCTCGTTAACTATAATAATTTATTTCTACCTAATACATGTTGAGCCTCTATGTTCCTTCAATATATAAAGGAACTAATACTGTGATAAATTCAGGGATCTAACACAGTCATGTGAGGTATATGTGAAGATATTATGGATTATGTTAGAGCAATGATTAAGATGGCAGAGATTGTTTTGAAAATCGCTAGATATCACTAGAGAAAAATATTTCAAAGTCTTAATTTATAAAGCATTTTAAATTCGTCTTCTTATATTTATGTAAAAATCAAGAAGGAATTATGTCAATCTGGTTAAAAACCCTGATCGATTGAAGTTTATAGGAAGTTTGCGCAAACATATACAACAATAACACAGGAGTGTAAAGTGACTATTTCGGACGGAAAAAATTTGGACTACTGTCGCTGATATTAAAAATACATCAAAAAGGATTAAATGTTCGTTGAATAAAGATCGAAGAGCTTTTTAAGATTGTAAGTACTTCACTTAATCGATCGTGGAATATGTTACACGACTGTAATACGAAATATGAAGCCCACCAAGTAGGTTGCTTGAATGTATCTAAGATTAAATAGAGTTTTTTTTCAACAATAAATAAATAGAGATATTAGAAAACAATACTTTACAGCTTTAAAAATAAAATCATTTAAATATTATAGAAAAATTGTATTGTTATTTTTCTTAAAAATGTATCTCCTGATAAATTTAAACTAAAGATGACGGCTGCGTTTAACTACATTTGGTCTCATTATTGTTACTTCTTGGACATGTTTGACTTTAGTATATAAAATATTTTTGAATACTAATAATATAAGCTTTGTACATGTAACTATATATAATACTAGGGTTATGTATTCATATAAGTATATAGTGTAATTATGTATTTGTTGTTAGTATAACTTATATATACATGAAAACATTTATATGAAAAAAGGCAAAGCTTATTTTGTTTACATCGATATTATTACAATAATAATTAAAACACTTTAATAAATATTTGAGTTGGACACTAATAATTATTAAAGCTCAATAACAAAAAGCTATTATTTGTTTTTATAAATTAATAACTTATTAATAATTGTATTGTATATGAGTGATAATATAAGTAGTAATTATTATATATATGAAACTCTATTCGTTTGACTTAATTTCCTAATGTTTTACTAAATATTTGCCTAATAATTTTCTAAAATAATTTTTGGACGGTGATTTTTTAATGTTGGTGTTGTTCACTTGTAGCGAAATTGGCGGAGGCACTACGCCGAAATCAGCTACAAAGTAAATTGAAAAATCCTTTGCCCTTCTCGGAACGTGGTGCCATCAGCATAGGAACTTGATTTTTATGTGTAACTTTTATCTATAATACATAATTTTCATTAATAATATATTGATATCTGTAAGATATTTATAATTAAGATAGTCATTTTACCGTGCATGGTAATTGCATCCAAGGTTCACCATCGATTTGCATAGGAAAGGTTCGTTTTGTTTTAATAACAACTTCACTGCATTGCGCCAAACGACGTCCAGAGGCACGTAAGCCGGTACGCACTTGTCCCATGTGTAAGCAATTTTCTAACCCAATAACTTCAATCAATCGATCACCAAAATCTGAGATTCAATAAAATAAATATCGGTTAATTGATAGTAAATTAAGTTGATGTCTATATTAATTAGTTTTATATAAAACTAAAATAACCACTAATTAATGTGTTCATAAGTACAGTGAAACCTCTTCTAAAGTATTTGTTTGCTGGAGAACTTTTCTCTTAGGTTCATAGTTTTTATAAAATCTATTTTTCTCATTATATTTGGGACAACTTAATCAATTTTGGACAGACCCTACACTCGAATGAAAAAAATTTTTTGAAGGATATGTGTCTGCCGAATAGATTCTTTACTGGTAGACGGTCACAAATTAGAACCAATCTGTTTTACAGATAGTTTTGTATTCGTAGTATTCGAATTTCTGAAATGTTTTTATTAAAAATAAAAAAAGTATGAAACTAATAAAAAATGCAGTTTTACTTAAATATTTTTTTACAATCACAAAACAGCATTGTTTTATTTGTAGTAATCTGTGATGTTTCCTGTTTTGAATTCATTTAAGATGTGCTTAGGAAGAAACGACTCACTCTTTTTACTTCAATTTATTGAATTAGGTGTATTCATAATCTCGTGCAACGAGTTGCCGCTTCACCCTGTTGCAATGCTATTCGGTAATCGAGCACTTTACACGATATGTATATCTTTTGAGTACTTCTGTTATTGTTATAAACAAAGAAATAACAAGTATGGTGATTCCCGATTTTCGGTGTAATCTACCTTAGCACTTTTTAGAAAACAACTCTTTCTAAAATTTAGGACATATATTGAATGGCATGTTCTTATTTCTGCACCTTTCAATTTCTAAAAGTTCTAATATATATTATTAATAAATATTTTGCAGTATTATTTTATACTCAAGGCTATCTCACAATAGAAGGCTACTGACTATAGACACCTATCCATTCTAAAATTTTTCAGTCCTCAATTTCGACAGAAAATTCCATCTAGAGATCTTTGGCGGTTAGTGCATCTTTCTTTAGAGAAGGATTTATCCCTTCACACTGATACATCAAAAACAAGTAGTGGCATAGGTAGCGGAGTTTTTTATTAAAGTTGAATATATCTTCTTACTAAAGACTTTCAAATCAGTCAGAAGTGATTGCTATTAGGTAGGTTATAACTTGTCTGGAAGTTAATGACATACTTGAAATAAATATATACTTACTATCGGACAGTCATTTATTTTTAAAGTTCTTGAGTTTAGTTTAATTTACATATAGGGCAGCCATTGACTGCTATACATCTCTAAACGAGATTTCGATGAACCGTAACATTTCTCGATATTTTCGGCAATTGCAAAGCCGACAGCTACCCAGACGTGGTGCTTCAGGGAACCACCCCGGAACACGTAAACAATTTGGGCATATTGCTGATATCATGCGTGGAATTCTATCTGTGTAAATCTTTTTAATAAAAGATGGACAGCCTCAAACGATATGTAAACATCTGTATACAATTTGGCTACGTTTCAATAAAAGGAAATCTAATTCTCTTATTGAGATGCTCCATAGAGATATAGTCTCTATGATATCTGATAAAGATATCAGTACTGGGTTTACTTACAGGTCACTGCAGTTTAGGGAACCTTGCTGGAAGATTGAATCTTCATTTCAACTACACTTGTCGCAGTTGTGGAGAGGAGGATGAAAATGCCTTCCATCTGCTTTGTCCGGTTCGGCATAAGCACAGTGTCGCTTTATCACTTTAAGTGAGGAAATTGGTCAACTTCAAGACTTTCCTCCTGATATAAGCTTTACCAAAGTTTTATCTCTGAGTTTATCTATATACGGTAACATAATATGCTTATCTGCGTAAGTGAATCCCTTGGGATTGCCAGTATAACCTAAACTAACCTAACCAAACACATTATAATAGTATACTGTATTATATAAACTGTTGTAAAATTAATATTACTGTTAAGGTTATAGTGTTCTATACTTTTTATTTTTATTTTTCACTTTTTTTAAATATAATTATATTTTTATTAAATATATGATTTTCGTTTCAAAATCTAAATGTACTTACCTTGAGTAGCAACGGATAGGTCCACTGAATTAAAACTTGTTGCTGATAGCTCTTTATCAGATGATTTTAATTTTAGTCCTTTACGAAATGGTCCAGAACTTTTGCGCATGCGTTTCTGTGATAAATGCTCTCCCCATAGATTAGAACCACCATGAGTGTAAGGAATGTTCAGCAGTGCTACTCCTTGTAAATGAGGTCCATTTGCTAAATCTAATGAAACGCCATCGCACTGGAATTTGATAAAATAAAAATAAACTATATTTCCTTATTAAGGTAACATAAGAAATAAAAATGAATAGGGTAAGGGCTCCCAAAGCAGCACAGCATTGAGACGATAATTCATTTTGTATTTAAAGAAAAATATGTAAAGTTCGTGGGTGGTAGTCAGACCCCTTAAGTACTAATAACTAAAGTTCTTAGATCTAAACTGGTCTAAAGGAGCTTATAATTGCAGCTGTCATTGATGACAATTATGACAAAAACAGTGATATGTAAAGTACCGATTTCAGGGATAATTTACTTCATGTAATGCTATACTATAAATTAAGTTTAATTAGTTAATCAAGATGCTTGCCATTAAGAATATCTCTGCATTTATGTAAGCTAAAGTTGGGTATTCAACTAGAATCAAGGACAGTCTACAAATTGTCTGTACGTCTTTGTGATTATCTGTTTATTTATCCGTCTGTGTTTTTTTTTTCAGACAAGCTACTTTGTCAATTTGGGTTAATCCAGAATTACGAATTTCATAGAATCCAGAATTAGGAATATAGGAATTTCTTGTCAACATATAAGACAACATAAAGGATATTTTGATAAATTTTGTCATTAAGTACCCGTCATAATAAATGAAAGTCAGCAGATTTATTTTAAAGACGAGGTTCTAAATGATAAATACAATATTAACTGCACATCTGCTAATGTTTTTGAATTTGAACTTGGACTTACTTCTATACAAAGCTGAAAAAATGAAGATGTACGTTAATGTTATATCTTAACACGCCTGTAATCAAATTGAATTTAGATAAGGGACGTATCAAGGACATTTCAAAATAGGTATTTGTAAAAATGAATGTATTTTTAAAGTTAATTTTTTTCTTTTCGAGCGTCTTTATGACAAAAAGATACTGTTTATAAGTTGGACGGATTCGAAAAGCTAAAAAAAGACAACAACAAAAATTTCAGTTAATTTATTGAAATTTGGCTGACCGTACAACGCTGTTTTGAGTATTGCAAAGTAGGTACATATCATCAGTGGTCTTAGGAAATATTCGAATATCTTTTTAATTAGTTTATAGTCTGTATATAATTTGTTTAGACTGCAATAGAAATATATTTCTATTTCAAAAATTATTGTTGATTTTTAAAATAAAAATTTTAGTATTTCTAATACTGTGAAGGTTAATAAAAAATGAGATTGATTTTCTCATGGTATGAGAATATCCAAGAGGAAACTGTCAAAGATTGCAATTTAGTCCTAATTCACCTTTGATTTAGCTGTGAAGCTGTGGATGTTTAGGGTGTCGTACTCGTATATAAAGACAATTTTACTGTTTTTTTTTTTTAATTAAATCAGATTTCTAAAGTTCAAAAAAAAAAATGTTCATGAATAATTAAATATAAGACTTCATTCCAAGAACACAGATGATAGGTACTTGGCTATACTTGGTTAGTTCAGTTTCAATTAATTAAAAATAAATAAAAATTTTTGTTGTTGCAATTCAGTACGGTTCAAAATTTCTATATTTAACTCGATTTATGTAAAAATATATTAAAGAGTTTGATGATAAATGAAAATGTATTATGGTGTTTTAGTGTGATAGTAGGTACATTGAAAAAGTCTGTCATCTTTGAAGTATGCAGTCAGTTGAGTTGCAAATAATTTATAATAATTTGTGAATATAAATTCTGCACTCCATGAATTTTAAAATTTATTATCTTATATTTTTTGATACTGAATAGAAAACACCGGAATGAAGTGTCACAAAATTGATAATGTCAAGTGTTTTAGATGAGCCCACAATTTGATTATTCACACTAAATTAAATTCCTATTCACTTTTCATGGAGACTGAATTTTGAAGTTGAAGCTTGAAAATAAAACTTGTTAAAAATATATGAAAAGGAAAGGATGAAAAAGAAAAAGAAGAAGTGTTAATAATATATAACAAAAGGCAATTTAAGAAAAAGTAAAAAATAAAAAGATATATTATATAAAATATGCGATAACATGAATCACTGCATTAGCTGAGAAAGAAAATTGTGTGCGCAAGGATAAAAGGCTCACTCAGCACGCAGTGCCACACAAGCAGCAAGGACAACGTATTAGCTGCTATGGTTTCTACAATGTAGGATTAGTAGCCTAAAGTATGTATGGGTAGTTGGTCGAGCTATTTGACGCTTGATGCTGACAGCTTTTTCTAATGTACTCCAGCATGCTCAATGCATTCATAGTCACAGCGGCAGTGGAACTGATTTTATTGCTTCTGTTGAGCACACACGTTTCAGTACTTACCACAATTTCAATATTTTCATGAAGATTCTTACAGGAAGCTGCAAATGTTTCCGAGGTGGCATACTCAAAATACCACAGTTTGTTCTTCATCCGACTATTGAATTTGTGTGGATTTTTCTCACGCTCTAAATGAAATTTAACACAGATGGCCGCATCCTAAAGAAATGGAAGAGAGATAAAATTCAAATGAAAAGGAATTCAATTTACTGCATTTTTATTATTTAAAATTGTTTAATAGAAGCATAGAAAGTGTTGCATTTCAAATTTAATTAGAAGATTTATTTATCTATCAGATTTTATTATACTGAGAAGTCTATAAATAAAAGTTTTCTGTTAATATAAAAAAACTTCAAAATCTTCTTACCTATTATCATACATTTTTGTTTAGGTTAAGCTTTAACTTTGTTTAATATTTTAAATAGAATTTATATTTATACTTAAATTCTTATCTTATGAAAGACTTATGAAAGTCTAGTAATCAAAAAACTAGGTTCTTATGTACATAGCTTCACTGGTTTTAAAATATTATCCTTTTTGATTCATATATGTTTTTATGCGTTTGAAACAGTTGCCAAAGCACTTGTCTCCAACAGAGACACCTACAAAACCTTAGGTTCAACACACCTCTCAATTAACAGTGTCTTCTGTTGATGAAAATTTTTTTCCACATATCTTGTTCTTTGTATGGCGAAAGAAGAAAAACTCATGTGATCCAAAACATGATTTTACGGTATAAGACTCATTTATTTGATATTTTGCGAGCTTAAAAAGACGCTTGCTAGAACCAATATTGTATCCATTGTTGTAGTAGGGAATTATCCGTCATGAGCTGTTGGTCTTTTTATATCTCCAAATAGTTTTGCCAACTAAATAGAAGTTCTACTTTCAAAATTTATTTTTCTACGTGAATGATACTCTTGCCATACCAATAGTTTTTTCAAAAAAACCGAACTCACCATTTATTTTTAAGGGTTTAATTGTTTAATAAATCAAAGAATCATCTTTAAAATATTCAGCCCGTTAAGTTGTAAATAATTTATAATAATTTGTGAATATAATTTCACCACTCAATGAATCTGAAAATTTATTATTTTATACTTTTTTAAACTGATTTTAAAATACTGAAGTGGAGTGTCACAGAATTGATAATATCAAGTGTTTTAGAAAAGCCCACAATTTGATTATTTACACTAAATTAAATTCCTTCTTGTCTCTTATGAAATTTTTTTTTGAAATAAGGAGAAAATTTCTATTTAAATAAATAGAAAATTTCTATTTAAATAAAGAGAAAATACTCTATTTAAAGAAAATAGAGCAGAAATTTTTAAGTTAATAAAAATTTCTACTTAAATAAATAAAAAATATTCGACTAAGAGACTGTGATATCTTGTTACATGAGTATTGCTGAATAAAGGCATGGATTACAGAAGACAACACTTCAGTCTCTAGTAGCTTACGGGCAAAAATTTCTCTCATAGTACTTAAGCAAAGAACTGTCAATCCATGCTTGATAAAGGCATGGATTACTTGTACAGAAGGCAACACTTACGTGTCCAGTAGCCTACGTGCAAATTTTTCTCTTATAGTACTTAAGCAAAGAACTGCCTAGCAAAGCGATTGGCATCACCAACGGATGGCCATCGCCAACGGTTTTCAGGTTGACATAAGTACTTAATACATGTTATAATTGAAAACAACTGTTGAAGCTTATATTTTACACATGACAAGTTTGTTCTAACTCCATCTTGAAATTAAATTATTTAATAACTGACAAATTAGTCAATCTAATAGAAAGAACTTATTGAAGTTGAAAGCATATTTATTGAGTTTCAGTGCGACTTTCGAATTGCTCGCTCTACAATTGACTAAATATTCACATTGAAACAAATCCTGGAAAAAACTCACGAATACAACATCGATACTTTTCACCTTTTTGTCCATTATAAAGCAGCTTTCGATAGGCCCATAAGGGATCGCGCTTATGCCGCAATATCTGAGCTCTATATCCCTGCAAAGTTAATGCGACTCTGCATAATGACATTGTACAATATCCGTAGCTCCGTCAAGTTAGGATCAAGTCTCTCCGAATTTTTTGAAACCGTGCAAAGCTTTAAACAAGGTGATCCCCTATCATATTGAGAAATTGTAACCAAATTTGATATACGAGATTGTATAAAGCAAGCATATATTAAACAAGCTTGGAGAGATTGTAACGACACGGAT